TTAATAATCAATTCAATAGCCTAAGGCCTTGAAGGTATTCAGTGTAAGAATTCACTAGTGATCCGCAATGACTATATGCAAAAACATTTTTTTAAAAAAGTTACCAAAGAGATAATTACCTTCGTCACCGACACTCGCTCCAGTTTGAAGATCTGGAGCTTCTCACCGGCCGTGCAGGATGATGGGGCAGGGGCGCATGCGCAGAGGAGATCTTCAGCGGGGAAGAGAGGAACAGTGTAAGTCAATGCACGCAGCTGGGAGCGTGCATGTCGGACAGACACCGTGGGACAGGAAGACAGCAGTCAAAGCTCTATCAGAGACCGGCACCAACACTGGAGGGATTGCTGAATACAAGTGGAAGGAACATGATGATCAGATCAAGAGGCATCATTTAAGGTAAGTCCTTAAAGCAGCATGGGGGGGGGGATTGTGATTTTAATGTCACTTTAAGAAGTCCCCAGAACCACTTCAAAAAGCGACAGTTAAGCTTCTTGCCTGCTGTTGGGAATCTTCTTATCTGGAGTCTATTTAATCTAATTAATGAACAGACATTACACTAGCAACATAAATCTGGCGCAAATCGCATCAAATATATCCCATGCAACCATATGCGAGTTCATACACTCACAATTGCATTGATAAATTCCCCCCACAGTGTTTTAAGAATTCTGTATACAGATCAGTTGTGGGAGTCACCTGCATTAAATGTCTGTCTAGATTGCAAGGGTCTATGTTTAAAATGACCAATCTTTACAAGTACTGTGCTGTGTTGCAAACTGAACAGGAATTTTCAGATTTCCCTGAAACTTCTTTTGCTGCCTGTAATTTCTATTGTACCCCAGGTCTTGCAAGAACTGAAAAGAGATTTTAATTGTACCACATGCTGATAAATTAGTCACTGAAGCCATATAAAATGCAAGGCATCTGTGGTACCCATTTATAAATATAAGAAATATAATAGCTCTTTAATTTGATGAATTTGACAGGTAATTATTTTTACTTTACTTAGCTTATAACCTTCGCTCTAGAGCCCATGAATGACAATAGCCTTCTTCACAACTCCAGCCCAGTCATCTTTGCTTAACACTCTGGATCTCGATCTTCTGATCCCCATCTCCCCCTAAAACAGACTTTAAATAAAAAACAGAGCCCCATTCCACATCATCAATCAAACTTCTTGGGCCTGCCCTTCTAATAGCATCTCCTCATTTTCTCACTGAATATCTTATTTACAGCCCTATTTTCTGGCATTACATTTAAATAAGATACTACATCTGGCTTTTGTACTCATCCTTGAGATCCATTGTCCTTCTAATTCTTCAGCATCCCTCCACTTTTACAGGGTCAAAGAAAACCACTCTTGTTCATTTTCTTTGAAGCGCCTCATTTGATGCTATCATTCTGCATGTTTCTGAGCCATAGACCATTACTGGTTTTGCCCCTGTACAGCAAATCAGTTATACTTCTCTGTTGAGACAATGCGTTTTAAAAAGTATTTTCTATCACCCCCATGTGTTTCCTGTCAATCTATTCTATCATGTTATTGTGCTCTGTAATCACTGATCAAAGATACTAAAGCTCTGACAGTGTTTTAAATGGCTTCATTCAGCACAATTCACTTTTTCTACTTGAAAGCATATTTGGCTATGGGACAATTTACCTTTATTCTTGTCTCTGCATTTCGTTTTAGTCTTATAAGACCTTTCTTGGGGCCTTGCAGTCCTCCCATTAGACCTAAGGCTTTCAACATAACTAAAGGTGGCCATACACTGTACAACCATCGCAAGACCTTAGTCTTGCAATGGTTGTAAAGTGATTAAAAAAACGTATGATCTGCCTATCTTGGACAGGCAGATCGCACTCTCGATCATCGCAAGCCAGACCCCCTGAGGGGCGGGCTTCCAATGACCGAAATGCTGAACGGGCAGTGTGCGCGTGCACACACCGGCCCGTTCGGCATTTGTCTCCCGAGCACTGTTCAAACCAGCCGAAAACCGTACGATTCTCGGCTGGTTTTCTAACATGCAGTAGAAACGGTCGCACGTCTTCGTTCACACTGTTCGATTCTCGTACGATCGCGGGATTTTCCGCGATTCTCGTGCGAGAATCGAGCAGTATATGGGCACATTAACAGGGATTAATCCACCCATTGTTGTTTATCAGTTCCCTTAGTCTGATCTTTAACCACCATTTTATACCATTTTTTGGGGACAGATAGAGCTTTATTTTGGTGGTATTTAATCACCACTACAGGTTTTTATTTTTTACTATAATTAGGAAAAATTACTGAAAATTTTGGGGAAAAAAAGTTTTTTTTTAACATTATGTTGTTAGGAAACATTTATTATTACCCAGTTTTTTCATAAAATATAAAAGTCGGGGTCAAGTCGATTAAATAGACACCAAACATGTCAAGCTTTGAAATTGAGCGCACCCGCAACATCGCAGAAAACTACCATACCCAAAATTGGCCATAGGCAACACTTTAAAAGCTTTTACCGCTCATCAGTTTAGTGTTATCAGTGATTGATGGCCCTAAACTTATTGCTCTTACTCTGACGTTCGCGGCGATATGTAACATGTGCGGCGTAATGGGCGCAATCGTCTTTTTTGCATATATATATATATGCGCCCCGACGCATGTTTGCATGCGTGTATGTATGGGTAGGGACTTCATTTTTTTTAATTCTTTTTTATGTGTAACTTAAAATTTGGGGGGGGACTTAAATTTTTTTTTACACTAAACTTTATTGCTATCACATATGTGGGCTAATAAAACCCCCCTATGTGATAGCAAAATATGTGACAGGTCCTCTTTATGGAGACATCAGGGGTCCTCCAAGACCCCTAATGTCACCTAGGACCCCCCAAAAGAAGCTGATGAATCAGAGATCTGCTCCATCAGCTTCTTTGCAGCTTCTGAAGCTGGAGAGTGACATAAGAATGCGGAAGTGATGTAATATACAACACTTCCGCATTCAGCTCCCTCTGATCCCCTGTTACACAGGCATGACGCTGATCCCGGGCTCGCACCGGGCACAGCGGAGCCCGGGATCAGCGGGAAAATGGCGGGGGTGGGGGGGCAGCACCGATCGTTGCAAAATACAAGCGATCCGCCGGCTCTACGGCCGGCGGATCGCTTGTATGTTAACAGGCAGTGCTGCCTGTTTTTAAATTGCGGCCATTTCCCGCTCGCGCACGCCCAGCGCCCGCTCAGATCTAGAGATCAGCGCCCGCTCAGATCTAGAGAGCTCCCGGCCGGCCATTTTTTTTACTACGGCCGGCCCGGAGGCAGTTAAAGACCCTTTCCTTTTCCTTGCAGGGCAGCCTAGGATATGGTTTATTTAATGATAAGCATGTGGATTTTATTGAGCAGAATCATACCACTGGCCTTCCAACCTAGCATACATATGGAGAAATCAAGATTTATCATTTAAAAAAATTGAAAAATGAATGAAAACCATCATGTTGAGGGATTTACCTATTTACATACCTACCTAAAGGATATCTAAACCAAAGAAGAAAAGTGTAATATACTGCAGCTTACCATTCCTTAGATGGGTAGCTGTGTTGTTTTCTTCCTTCTTCCTTTATTCAATTTTTTTTTTTTTTCCTTATTCTGCCAATAACATACTTCCTATCCTAGGGTGACACCGCTTACTCACTCACTGTACTGTATCTATGAGGAAACAGCACTGTCACCCCAGGAAAAAACTAAAGAAACATCCCCCTCTCTTCTCTATAAAATAAAGCGGGGTAGGCAAACTCTGGTCCTCCAGCTGTGGTGAAAATACAAATCCCATCATGCATCTGCCTCTGGGAGTCAGGGCTGCCTAGTGGGATCTGTAGTCACGCCACAGGAGGAGGTCCAGGAGTTTACCTACCCCAACATGGAGGGTAGGGGTTCTTCAGTCCTCAGAGGGAACCTGAAACAATGTAACTGAGAAGAATGAAGCACAGGCACAGAGCACAGCAAGTTAGAAGCTAACAAGATATCTAGCAAGATCAACTGATATTTTTTGCACTAACAGAACACTATCAATAGCATACTTAACAGAACAGGAAACTAATAAGAATCTCATTGTTAGAGTTTACATACCCTTTAAAACTAGGAGCCACACTCTTCTCGCACATCCTTATGGGACGGAACATTTAAGAAGCAGAAAAACCTAATGCTCATCTGCTGCATGGACTGGTGATGTGGAAGGAAACATAATTTTGTTATCTGGGGCCTTCGTCTTTAAGCACCTGGCTGGTGCAGAAGAATATATGGAAAAATATCAGAAAGGTGGGAGGTTTTCCTCCTTTAAATTCATTTTTACATGTATTGTTTGACAAAACAGGTATCTACAGCCTCTTTAGCTACAAATCAATTTGCATCATTGAGATTTATGTTTATGTCTAAGCCCTCGTTCACACCTGAACATTTTGTAGCGCGTTCTACGCTCGACGAACGCTCTACAAAACGCTCAAAAATATAAATCCCATTGTATTCAATGGTCTCGTTCCCACCTTGGCGTATTTCCGCCCGTCCCCAACGCGCTACAAAACGGCCCACGCCTGAAAAGGTACAGGTACTACTTTGGGCCGTTTTGTTGCGCGTTTCCATTGGGATACAGCCAAGTAGCCTTCGGAAACGCGCAAAGGTTGCGCGACTTTTTCCCCGCGAATCGCTGTAAAAAACGCACGACAGACGCGCATATGCAATACGCCTAGGTGTGAACGAGACCTAAAACTATGCTTCTGCAGTCCTGAACATCCACACTGTTATCTGAGCAAACAGAATATACAACAAAATTCAATGATCATAATCAGTACAGTGTTTGGGAAGGGCAGTTGCAGTTGTAGATTAAAACAGAAACCTGTGTAGTTTACATTTAGAAAACAAATATTACACACACATAAAGTGATATAATGTATGTTAACTGATGATTTTTCTTCTGACTGAAGCCTGCCCTTAATGATAACATGTAGCATAAAAAAAAGTTGTTTACACTTACTTATTTGCAACAAAACGCATCACAGTCCAGTCTTTAGGAAACATTTCAGGTCTTATAAGTATCCGAAATACTGTAAAGATCTGCAGCAAAAAATCCTAAAATAAAAAAATTAACAGTCATGGTCAAGGAAACAGCATACAACACACATAAATGGCTGTGCAGTCATGCAGCATTTTGTAAATATATACACTTTAGATTTTCTCAGGTATTTAGGTGTTATGTTAAATTACTTAGAACATTTTTAATGTAAAGAAAGCTTTTCAGTCAATAAACACAAGATATTAAACAATTACATATGAACATTTTGGATTTTTAGTTCTCGGTAGAAGGTATGATTACACATAGCTACTCTACAAAAAACAAAACACTATTAACAGTGCACAATAGTTCAAGTTGAAATGTACACACACAAAACGTAAAGAGTTTCGAAACCCTCCTTTTCTTTTGCATATATCTACTGCTGGCAAGCAGTAGATATATGCAAAAAAACGCTTTAAAACCCGTCTTCGCCGCACCCTCCCGTGCGAAAATCCAAAAATGCTCAGGCGGCCACAAAGCATCTTGGGGCGGGCGCATGCGTAGTTCGGATTTTCGGCCGGGAGACGAGGAGAGACACAAGGTAGGTCTATGGACGCTTGAACCCGCATGCAGACACCATGGGACAGGAAGTGCCGGCAAGGACAGAGGAGTTAGAGCTGGATCGGAGACCCGCAGCAGCAATGGAGAGAAGGCTGAAAAGGACAGGAAAGAAGAGGAAGACCGGATTAAGAGACATCATTTAAGGTAAATGTTTTACTTAAGATTGGGGGGAGGGAAACATTTTTTTGACTTTAATGTCACTTTAATGACTCCTGCCCCTACCTCTACCTGCTTTCTTTGTGTGTTTCAGAGAGAGAAAGTGAGGACAAACAGTGCCTGCTACTGTTTCTTTAGAAAACACATAAGATTCATGTGTTACAGGCCTCTCATGCTTTAAATGTTTATTTGTGAAATAAAGAATTTATATAAAAAGTAGCTAAAATATAATACTTTGAACACTCCTAAACCTAAAATTAAAATATGATTCAAAAGCACTATAGGTTTCCTTTTAGTTTCACATGCCTTCACTCTGCAGTCTCATTTACTGTAAGCCAATATGATAAAGTGTGTCCAAACCTAAAAACAAATATGTAACATTAGCTTACCATTCCTAAGATATGGTGGCAGCAGCTGCATTAATTTGCTTGTTTTCCAGACTTTCTCTCCTTGGTTATCACCTGGTAATCCTGCAAATAATATGTCCTGTACTAGAGTGGTTACCTGTGCACAAATAACTGTATCTATGGAGAAAGCCATGATTGTCACCCAGGATGGATTTCAAACACGTCTTCCTTTCTTCATCTCCTGAATAGATGTTTACATGAAGTAGGCTGCTTCTGCTTTTAGTTAAGCTCACAGGAAGTGACTGACACTGCATTTCTGGCAAGATCAACAGATATTTTCTGTACTTGCTTAAAAATTTTTTAACCGGAGAAACAAAAACTAATGCATCCACCACATTATAGGACTTGTAAACTGCAATATTTTACAATTTTGTTTTTGGGATAAGGACATTCTTTAAAGTGTATGTTTCACCAAATAGATTTACTGTTAGATAGAATGGGGAAGGATTAAAACACTTGTCTGTTTTTCTGCCATCCGGGGCTCTGTTAGAAAGATTTTCCTTCACTTTCTGTCCCATTGACAATAGCTTTGCCAGAAAAGAAAGATGTGCCACAGGGACACCGAGAGCAATAAAAAGCTGAGTTCTCTTCTCGCCCTGCTCGAATAGAAAAAAGTGTTAAAGTGTTTCTATTTCTATCTGTATTGCTGTTGGAGAGATCCCCTTTACTTCCCATCAAGTAAACCTCTGCCAGCAGGACAGGAAGTGAGAGGAAATTTCTCTAACAGAGCAGCAGAAAGCAGTGAAAACTCAACAAGGTTTTATCCCTTCCCTGTGAAAAAAGGCTGGCTATACACTGTAAACTGTCAAGTACAGGAATGCCTAAAATATGCCCTTATGACCATATTCTCTGAAGAGTGCCCATTTTTAAGTGCTGTAAACCAAATCAGATTCATAATGAACTAATCGAACTTTTAATAAGCTGATGGGCCAGTCCAAGCCTGATCCCAGGATCTCACTGTATGAGGATTGTTCAGCTTAGAACAGACATAGAACTCTTGTTTCCAATGATTAGATCCCTGTCCACTGCCTGGGAAATGGAAGCCTGCTCATTTAATTGGCTTGCACTTTGACTGATTAGCTAAAGTTTTACCAGATTTAAGCACTGGTACTTATAACTGGATAAAACAAAATTAATGGCAGAGCTCTGCGGCAATGGTCAAATACATTTTCCAGGTTTGTAACTATATAACATGCTGGGAGGATGAATCTTCATATTGACCTACTTTGGAATTCCTTTTATGTAAGCTCTTGAAATCCTCCATTAAGCATGACACCGCACATCCAAAAAAATAAACAGTAGCATTCTGTATACATGAAAGATTAGTATTTGTAATGATCCAGGCACCCCAATTCAGTGCTTTGTGGGTTAAAGAATTAAACATCATTGGGGCTGTGATCTTATGCAGATAGCTAAATAAAGGGAATCCAATAATATAATGCTTATGTTAGTTTGTCAGCACAGTTTCAGTTTCCCACTGGGGATAATCCTTAAATCAGAGTTTTGTTTTGACAGTGGATGATTCTGCCACCAGCAGTAGTTTCTCCTCCTTGCTGTTTGTCTGACCCACTGGTGCCCTCACACTCTCCACCTTTTTCCCCTCTACTGCCCAATCCCAACCTTTCATGCTGTGCTTACTCTACACACTCCTCTCCTGCACATATTGCCCACTATCATATCCTCCACACTCTTCTACTGCACATATTGCCTAGGTCATATCCTCCGCACTCTTTTACTGCACATATTGCCTACGGTCATATCCTCTGCACTCTTTTACTGCACATACTGCCTACGGTCATATCTTCTGCACTACACTCCTGCACATGCTGCCCTGTCATACCCTCCACACGCCTTTCCTGCACACACTCATACCCTCTAACTCTCATCACTCTTACCCTCTGCGCTCTTCTCCTGAACATGCTACTCATGGTCACGCCCTCCACTTTCCTTTCCTGCACCTACTGCTCACTGTCCTATCCCACACTCCCCGCTTCTGCACATACTGTCAGCCATCATACCCTCTGCATTCCATTTCTGCACACATACTTCCCACCATATCATCCACCTGTCCGGGATTCACCTAGAGAGTCCAGTTTTTGAGTCTTGTGTCTGGGTGTCAGGCCAGCTGATGCCTGGACACAAGACACTAAGTGCCGATACTGGCACTTTAAATTGTTTTTACAGATGCGGCTGCCGAAGTCCCGCGCTTGTGGTGACATGGAGACCCCGGCACACATTACAGATGAGTGACCCTTTCTGTAGTAGCCAGAGACGATCACGATGCTGCCGAGGCAGGGATGGGTTAACAGCGGTGGGTGTGCATCAGTTGACAGGCAGAAGCCAGAGGTAGGAGCAGAAAGAGGATGTTGCTGATGGTGGAGAAATAGATGCGAAAAGGGGAGGCCCTGGGGGGAAGAGGGATGGAGGATGAGTTCCGAGGCTCTGACTGTCTGACACTTTGTTTACACCCTGATCAGTGCACAACCCAGGCAAACTGTGTGACCACATTAACTGTGTGTAGGCCAGCTCAGAGTAATGCTCATGCATCTGATTAGAGGAACCCAACCCTTTAGAAGCAAATGCATTATCTAGTCCTCTCTAGCGCACACATTCCATTTGTTACATGATGAAATGTGTAACACTATACCTGTTGCCAGTGCTAATCACATATGGGGAGCAGTGGTTAACCCATTCAACACTGCTTCCCAGACAATCCCCCTGGTGCAGCTCTTCTGCATAAGCGGGTTTCACTTGAAGAAAAGGTGGCAACCCTATCATCCACACTCCTCTCCTATACATACTGGCTGCACTCCTTTACTGCACATTCTACACACCATCATACCCACCACTTTTTGCCAGTTGGCATACTTTACGCAGTCCTCTACTGCACATCCTACCCACTATAAGAGTTCAAAGTTGTATTATCCCGAACCGTATCTGTTCTGGAATGGGCACGCTTTGGCTACTATACATAATAACGATGTATTCACAGCAGGAGACTATTAGCTTAATTCTGCTAACAGACATACTGTCTCGGAGGTAAAGATTTGTCAGCCACCCAGGGATAGGACTTTGCATTCTGTCTATTAATATGCATTGCATAAGCATGCTCTAAGAACCCAGTTTCCAAATGTTCTATAACCGATAACTATCATACCTTGCATAGCATCGTTATGATTGTTTTTGTTAAATATGTTTTATTGATTTGACATGCTTATACATTGCATAAACAAATAAAATGCAATCTAACTTAAAATAAAATTTCTCGTGCTTCATTTGTCAATGGTAGAAAAACTACTGTTACATAATTTACTTGATAATGCAATAGAATCATTAAATAGCGCACAGTAGGGCAACTGAGTCTTCATACAGATGTAGCTCATGAGAAACCTGGTTGCAGAGGGGAATGCATGCCTGTAGACTCTACCCATGGACCCCATATTTTATAGAATTTGATTATACCATTGTCCAGAATAGTTTAGAAAAGCGAATAATTGTTTTGCCGCAGATAAATACCCTTATATTTCCAGTTATCTATCCTTACAAATCATCTGATTCTACAGAGTTCCCTTTATGGTCAACTACATTAAACCAGAGAAATTAAGCCAAAAAGAGTACATTTCAACATATTCGTTACATATGTTTGAAATCGATATACAAATGTGTAACATTGTATTAGCTGATCAGAAGAAGCTGTGGCCACACATGACGAGTAGGCGGATCGAACAGTTTACAGAGCGGAGACCCTAGACAACATGAAGATTGGTCACAAAAAACAAAGATCCAAGTCAGAGGCATACCCTAAGCTCCTCTTTTGTGTTGAAGCTCTCAAGAAGTTGTTGGTAATGTCTGTCCGTCATTTGTCTCAAAAGAGAAAGCAGAGATGCCACAAATTCGCCCTAAATTCAAAAAAGAAAGGCAAGATAATAATTCCTCATACTCATTGGACATACTTAAATTAAGATGAATAGTTTGACATAAGAACATCATTACCAATAACATGGACAATAAAATAGTTGGTCTTGTTTAATACATTTTTTGATAACAGAAATGCTCTGACCTGCTAAGATTTAAACCGAATGAAGGAGAACAAAAGTAAAATCTAAATAATTGCTGTAGGGCAGCACAATACGTTTTAAAACAATAACATGGACATTTATGGTCAGGAACGACATTCATGATTATTGAACCTGCTCCTGTAGCTGCATTAAGCAGAATGTCAACCACCTACTGCAGTTATTTAGCACTTGTTAGATATCATTAGTCACAGAGGTTTCATTATTGATCGTCACCGTGTCAGAATATATCCTGATATGTTTTGTACTGCTCACTAACACAATGGACAACAAAGATCATAGTTGAAAAGCAATATTCACATCTATACAGGTGCACTTGGGTAAGACCATGTAGTAAGTTGTGCTATCAGTAAGCTGAAGAGGCTTTTTCACATTAGAGAACATCAGTGCAAATGTCCTACTTTCATTATGATGCAATCCACTGAAATCCTACTGAAAGATAATGAGGCTTTAACACCTTAAGAAAACTTGAGTTATGTGATAGTATATGTATATGTATATGTTATGCTAATTGCTGACTGTGTTGCACTCAGTGAATATATGTCATCCGCACACTAGACTGAAGGTTATTTGCATAATATTCACACAATAAAGTGTGCAATGCTTCTTGACCACTCAGGACCCCATTATCACAGAAAGGCAGTAGTCTTGATGAGCAGGTCCTGCAAGGCACTGACATGCTGCATGTGGGATTATTATGCAATACAAAGCAAACCATTTTCAACGTTCACTCTGGTGAGTGAACAACAAATATCTATTGATTTTTACTGTTAATGCCAAACATTGGTTGTCAAAGCAAATACAACAGGGAATAGTCCAGTATGGTATGGAGTGCAAAGCCTTTCCGTCACATAACTGGAAAGATAGTCTGCTGCATGTAAGGAAATACCACCTTATAAACCATTTTAATTACTTTCACCTCTGATGTGCTTCTGAATCTTTCCCTTTAAGATTAAATACTATGCATCACACATTCAGGAGGGCTGACATTAGCAGATACATCATCAAAGAGGCAAATCTACTATGTGGCACTGGCAGGGAAAGCATATTATATACCTATATTTTAGATCTCCTCCTAGAGCTAAATTATTAGCTTTGGTAGGAGTTATTTCACAACATATATACTTTGTAATCACAGTATATGATCAATAGATGTTCTGCCTTATGCATGCAGTGGTCAACACATTGTAAAAAGTGCAGAAGTGGGAGTTTTCACCATCCATATCATCCATTTTTACAAGAAAGACATGAGATACATGACACAAATGTTCAGATTCTGTAAGAAATTATTTATAGCATGTAATTTTCTGCAACCCTGGAGAAAAAACACATACAGTCACATCTTGAAACTGAAGCCTCATTGCTGAGCCTGACTGCTGAGGTCGACTTGTAATCTCTAAAATAGTCCTCAGTAAAATGTCCAGCAGACTGTTAACAATTACATCGATTTCCTTCATGGCACACTTCTCCTAAAACACAGAAATATCCACAGATGAAAAACACATAAAAGACACCAGGTTTATAAAATTCCCTCAGTTAATTTTAAATATTTTGCAATTATGCTGTGATCACTGTTACATAATGGGATTGTTTAGCAGAGCTAGGAAGGTTCTTAAATGTAAAACCATGATCATGATAGACAAAGAAAGAGAAACACTGCAATGTATGGCAAATTGCATTTATTCAGGAGACTATATAATCTGCAGTTACAATGCAATAGAGCATGCATGTTATGCAGTTGCTGTGATCTGATCTGCCTTTTGTCAAAACTTGGGATGCACCGATATCAAGTACCGTACTCGGTACAAGTACAGATACTTTTTGAGCTTCAAGACTACACTAGAGAAAAATTCAAAAGTTAGGAGGCAGCTGTCATTTGTAAGGAACTCATTTGTGGAAAGCTAAGCAAATCTTTTTTTGAAGATTTACCATTTCATATACACTGATATGTTTATATAGTTTATCATGTTTAAATGCTCTGTGTAGTTATTTGGGGGGATTTGTTAGTGGCTTTTAGTTTTTTCAGTGTTTTAGATGGAAGTTTCTTTGCATATGTTTGAAGCAAATATTAGGTTACTCCTAAAAGTATTTTATATGGTAATTGTGTCAAGAGTAATGCTCTTTTGAGAGGTCATGATTTTGGCTCTGTTTAGCACACTCTACTGTGAGGTGTGGACAGGGCCGGATTTACTCTCTCTGCTGCCCCAAGGCTGGGTTCCTCAATGGGCCTCCCTCCCCAGCTAGTCTGAAAGATGCCTCTGCTTTTTCCTGGTTGATCCTCCTGCTCATCGGACAGAACTGTGTGTGTCTGCACAGCTGCAGTGCGATGTGTTTTGCAGCGATTTTACAGCGATTTATGTGTTTTTCTGTGTACTTAAAATGGGATTTCAGGTGCGTTCCAGTGTGTTTGTATGTGTTTGTGATGCATTCCGATGCAGCTAAAATAGGGCAAGCAGTATTTTTTTCTCACTGCATCGGAATGGACTGCACCGGTGTTAACAGAGAAATCCCATTAAAGCATTGTGATGCATTTTGCATGCAGCTGCCAAACTAAACGGACTGCATCACAACTGTGTCTGGTGTGAACTAGCCTTAATAGTCCAATAAACAGACTGCTGGAGGTGGAAAGGTGATATAGGAAGCTGCATTACTGAACCAAGAATGGTGAACCAGGATATTTGGTATGCACCTAGCTGTGCAGTGGGCCAAGTGTGTAAATCAGAATAACTCCTTTGACAGGTAGACATATATATTTCAACTTTCTATTTAGCTGTTTGCGGTCAGTAAGACTTTCTCTTTAACCAGAAAAAGTGGCACTGCACCAGACATACAAAACAGATTAGACCCAGCATGTAATCATAAATTCAAACCTTTGAACATTAATTTGTGATCAGAGATGAGGCCTAGCACCACAGTAAGCTATTTTAATAAAAATGTGGAGGGGTAAAATAACAGCTTTGCAGCTGTATGCCAAGCACCTGCAGTGCACTTCTCCTATATATAGATTACTGTAGAAATGGCTTACAGTCTGTTCTGAATTACTGTTCAGCATGCTGTATGTTAATGTATATAATAAATGTCTTGCAATTACTTACTGAGCTGTTTTTCTTGCTTAGACAAAACATGTTGCTAAGGATACGTGCACACATTACAAGATCTCTATGCCCCTGCAGATGCATGTGGAGGTGGTGGAGGACAGTGGGGAGGAGTATAAAACGGGATTCTGAAATGACATACAGTACTTATTATGACACAGGTCACTTCTGGAATTCAGCAGGCTTACATTATGTATCCAATGTTAATATACGGCCAAAAATATTCAATGCAATTTATCATATCAACAGCTAAATTTGACATACTTCGTAAAATGACTAACGCGTCGAGTTGCTATGAAACAGAACTTTCATATTAAAAATAAGCAGTACATCATCATAGATTGGACAGAATATATATAGTAAAGTAACACATTTCTACAGAGAAATCATAAACCATGATTACAACACAAAGTATATCGATGTTTTAATAGCTATCTGCTATTTTTTTTAATGGTTTATTGCAGATATAACAGACAATTCAGATTAGTAACAAAAAGCCATACAACAGAATAAGAATTTCGGTCTCATTTTTTTAATATCAAATACAAGCATAGCAGCAAAGCGTGTTATAGAATATATAGCAAAATGTATTTGACTCACATCCATAATAGGCTCTTACAATGAACAGTACTCTGAGGATACCTTTTTTTTTTTAACCAGGAAAGTATGCATTCAAACCTAAAACCTTTAGGGTAACACAATTAAATTGCATCCACCATCCATCTAGAGTTAAAAAGGATTCTCTGTGGCAGCAGCACGAGCATTAATTCCACGATACTGGAATACTTACTATTCAGGAACGGTTAGTGGAATTAAGTACTATTAAGAGATAACAGGGGTTAACGGCACAAATTAATGAACGATATTCTCAATGGGAAGACATTTGGATTCCTTGGATAAGGTATATGGACACAGATGCATACAGAGCTCTATGATATAAGGGGGAGCATATTCCTTGAAAGTAAAATAATAGTAGTTATCTCAAGTAATATGGCAGAATAAAGGAGAAATTCAGGGATTATAGATTTTTAATTGAATATATGGATCGCAGATAACGGGGATAGGAGAGAGAGAGGATTGGGAGGGGATATATGAGAGGGTGGAGGGGATGTATGGGTGGGGGGAGGGGGGGTTATATGAAGGTATGACATTCACTTTTACGACTCTTTTTCTTGGATAGGTACTGAAATGATAGTGATTTGCGTGAGATATAATCATTTGTTTTATGAGTAGAGGGGTAGATGCTGTTATTTAGAAGGTGAATACGTGCATATAATAGTCCTTTACCCAATATGTGTAAAGATACGTGAATTAGGGTTGTGTGTTTACTGATGTATGTATATTGTGGAACAAAATGCAGAAAATGAATAATGCTTTTTTATACTAAATTGCAGCCACAACTGG